AAAAAAAACAAGTAAAAAGGAGAAAATGAAACTTAAATACTAAACAATCAGTATTAGCAAGCCCAATGCTCCATGGCTCAACGAGCATACATTTTCTAGGAGATTAGGCGACAGAAGAGAAGGTCTTCTTGGTGGGCTGAAAGGCCCAATATATGAAGTTTGGGTCTTAAAAGTTCAGACCGAGCAAAACAAAACCATAATCTAACTTGGCCCACTCAGATCCTTGCCCCAGCCCAAGCTGAATTAGGGTTTTGAACATATCAACCCTTGTCTAGGGTTTGGAAAGAGCTATATATAAACGATTCAAGGTCCCCTCTCTTCTCCATCGTCTCATCTTAGAGCTTCCGGCCTGGAGGTATGTTAACTTCAATATTCAGCCTCCTCTTTGAGATTTGTTGAGCCATTTTTATTTGTTATGATAAGCATTGAAGAAAAATATTGTAAAAGTTATATTTGCACGCTCTTTCCCGGGCTTCTCTGAGTCTCTACCTTTGAAGAAAAAAGCCCCAAAAGTCGTGCTAAAGCCATGCCGTTTTACGTGTTGCAGTATAGCCTTTACTTTTCCAACGGCTCTTCTGTGTCAAATCAGCGGCTACATCTCGAATCTATGTATTACTGCTAATCATAGTTACAGTAATTGTTTTTGCCTCGCTACACCTTTAGCTTATTTTCAAGATTTAATGATTTATTGGAAACTAGGCTAGTCATAGAGGCAAATATTGGATCTGGCGGTGTTACACGTGGGGGCATGTCTTTCTATGATTTCGCCTCTAAAATCATCCGCTATACTTTCTGTCTTGTCTATTTATTCGTTGGCGATGATTACATTTAGTTTTATCCGCGCTTCTGAGAGCAATCGATGAAGCATATATAAAGCAGTAAAATGGTTGAATTTCTTGATATGAGCCAACTTCTCTTTGTTCCTTTTTTTATTTTTCAAAATCTAGTTACGTACTTGGCTATGAGGATTTATATACAGCTTTTAATGCCAGTTCTGCTTCAGAAAATTCTTGATTGAGAAGCTGTTTTATATTCTGAGCCTCTCTGATTTACCAACCAATTTTATTAAAATGCGTTATTTTCTTACTACGGCTCAGTCTATGATGATTTATCCGTTTGTTTGAGGTGTAGATTCCCTCAAGTCCCTGTTTACAGGGAGAACCTACTTGGGGTGCTGCATCATTCATGAAATTACTGGATTTTGCTGAGACTTTTTGTTTTTCTTTAGATTGTTTTAGAATTATTATATATATATATATATATTGTGCCAATGATGATCTAATCCAGTTTGGATGAGGTGCAGTGGAGCCAAGTCCCTGTTTTACAGGGAGAACCTACTTGGTAGAAGCTGCAATTCACTGATATTAATGGATTCAACAGAGGCCGTATTTTAATTATGAAATGTTTATTAACTAGTTAATGTGTTTGTATTGTTTTGATTGAGTTTAACTATACTCTAAATCATTTACCTTTTTTGTTATTGGTTTAGAGTCTGAAAAACTCAAATAGTGTTGTGTTGTCATCAGCTTCTTCTCTTGCATTTTTAACGAGATTGGAGTTAAATAACAGCACTAAATTTTCTTCCTCTTGCAGGTATTGCGTGGATTCTTCTGCTTCTTTAGAGATTGTTGTACCTGAAATTGTATATTGTTGTCTACAGAAGAAAAAAAAAAGTAATTGTATTTAAAGTTTGAAAGAATAGAGCAATGAAACTCCAAGTGTCGTCTATTTGATGAAATTTTGTTGCTTACTGTCTGCTAGTGTAATAATCGGAACTCCCTTGCGACCTTCGTTTCCGGTGATTGTGATATGTGTGATGTACACTGCCTTTCAGAGCCCAGTGTAGCTTACTTGATCAATGTTAATATATCATTCAGTCATTTCTTAATCTGGATAGAAAGAGGACAAATCCAGGAGGAGCCAGTTTTGGTCAATTTCAAAAATTAAGATTAAAATTTGTGGCAAAGAGGCTTGATTAGTTGTTAATCCTATTACAAGTTCCTATCCTCGATTCGTTAACAGCAGAGGAAGCACCCTGGTGGCCCAACCCCTCTTCTTCTGAGCTTGGATATTTTTGTCTAGGCACTTGAATCAACTCAATACCAATCCACACAGGCCTCATCGATATGGGAATATGCCCTTTTTTTTTTTGATGAAATTGATGTGTTTTTAAATTTCATTTTTAATTTTTTTATTACATTAGGAAATTTTGATATAATATTTTGTATTGTAAGAAAAATTTATTTTAAAATGATTGTTACTTTGAATATATTTTTATACTGAGATAAACTTCGATACAAAATTATTATTTTTAATTTTATTTTTTTTATCATTTTTCGTAATGTTTTTAATAATTTATTCATCTTAAATAATTAGTAATCCAATGATTAGATAATATTTGACAATCGGAGACAAGTGTTGCACCGACATCATTTTCTCACTAGGGACGGGGGCTATTACCGATTAGCCATAGAAGCAACCAAAGATCTTCAGGTCAACTCCTCCATGCTGATATTCTAATCAACTTTATTAATGATATGCTTTATTCCATCTGCATTCATAGTCCATAAGTTTTCCAACAAGAAAATTGAAGGAATAATGTACATATGTTTTAAGCCCCTATAACTCTTTAACTCTTCAAATAGCCTCATCATGGTTACCAATTGCTGTCTTTGAGGACCTCTGCTAGTTGAAATCTTGAAAGACAACTGCACGCCTCCTAGAACGGCTTTTGAAAACTTCTTCCATTAAACAGTGTATGAATATATGCAGCATCACTAACAAAAGGGATGCGAGCATACTTGCCACCAAGAGCACTCCTAACACATATTAACAAGGTGAAGATGTAGAAGAATCCAATGCCAGCCCAGAAATGCATCCCAAACTTGCCGTTGTAGTGTATGAGTGGAAAAAAATTGCTTGTATACCATATTAACAGCAAGGCAGTCTCCAACAACATGGCCATCATCAGATGGAACCTGAAGAAGTGAGGCCAATCTTTATTCTTCACAATTCCAATATAACCAATGTAGCAATATATCATTGAGAACCATGGAGGTAATCTCTTGATAGCTCCTGGGACAAAATAAACCAAACTTTCAAAAATCTCATAATGTTCTGCCAAAGGATGAACAAAATATCCCGTGTCAGAAATCTGCAAAGCTATTAAATAAGGGACACATGCCGAAGTCCTCCACCACCATTTCGGCTTCTTGGTTATCACAGGGTAGTCAAATTTGAATATATCATCCTTGTATGCTCTTGGTGAAGAACGTGATCTTCGTTGTTTAGCTAAGAAGTGGTTTATATGCTGCAAGCCACCTTCCTCTTCACCTAAAAACTGCGATGATAAGGCGACAAGGTGGTTATACTGTGTTCCTGCCCAAGGAGCATAAATTATTAAACTAAAGTTCAACAAAAAGAGAACACTAGAACTCGAGCATCATTTTTTGTAGCAGAAAGCCAACGCTGCTGCTAGCGATGAGTCTATCCTGACAAATATGTCAAGATGTTTTCTGAAATGAACCTACCATTCCTGTTTCTCGATCATGCAGCATTCTAGCAGGTACAGAGCACCCGATTTCTTTTTTTTTTTTCCACAAATAAAAAAGGAGGAGATTAGAACCATGAAATAGAGAGCAATATCATTTATTATCGACGAAATATATTATACATCAGCAACAAATTAGTTTCAAAACTAGCTTCTAGTTTCCCTTTTTCCCTTTACTGAAGCAGAAAAAACTGCATCAGTAATGAATTCAGTAATCGGAACTTCATTAAATGTGGAAAAATCAAACAACAAGCTTGATGCAAAGTAACATACCTGCAGAAGACAAGAAACCCCGTGCACAAATGTTGCTTGACGATAAAAAATTGGCCTGCAAACTTGACTTGCATGCGACATTTGAGGGCTTGCATCCTCGGTAGTTACTGCTGAATCGCGCTAGAATCAAATCCTTAGACCTAATCATATATGTATGTCACCAGGGCAACACATAATTCAGCTTCAAAAATGGGGTACAAATATGTTCGAATTGTCTGACTAATTAAATACCCCAAAATTTCCAACAATTCTAGCAATCAGTCCCCATAAATTACAACGAGAGATGGATTATCAACAGCCGAAAGCAGGTACAAGAATATATCCCATCAAAGTTTCTCATATAACTATGAAAAAAATCAGTCAAATATCTCAATCAGAAAATTGAGTTTTCTTTTTCACCTTTACAAGCTACTCAAAAGGGGAAATAAATCCAACATTACAAAGCTGAACAACTGTTTGCACCAAGTTAGGCAAAGAAAAATGACAATAAGAAATTGTAGATATTGCTGCACCCTGATAAAGTGTGAATGGTCCAGATTAGATTTAAGATATATAATAATAATCTTTAAAATAAAAAAGGCCAAAGAATTTCAGCAAATTCAGTTAAATTCGTGACGAGAGTGATGTGCATTTTTGCAGGAAAACTATTCAGACTGGGATATGAGAAGCCACAGCCCAGTTGATAAAAAAACAACCACAATAAATAAATTTGAATAAAAAAGAGTCTACCAACGAGCGGCCTGAAGTAGAGAAGGCTCGGCGGCCTTGGGGCAGCCCGGAGCAGAGACCGTAGGTATTGGCGGAGACATCTGGGGAAGGGTCTGTCGATAGAGCAAGTCAGCAAAGCAGAAAAGCAATGTTGCTTTGCATGCACGAAACATATGGTATTTAT